TAAATTGTATTTGCCTAGTTTATCAATAAGAATATCATGCGAGACCGTATCAAAAGCCTTACTAAAGTCTAGGTATACCACATCCACAGCTTCTCCCTTATCCGCAAGACTCGTTATCCTATCGAAGAAAGCGATCAGATTGGTTTGACGTGATTTGTTCTTTACAAATCCATGCTGGCTGTTCCCTATCACCTTACCACCTTCCAAGTGTTTGCAGATGATTTCCTTAATTACTTGCTCCATTATCTTCCCTGGCACAGAAGTTAAACTAACTGGTTTGTAGTTTCCTGGGTTGTTTTTATTTCCCTTTTTATAGATGGACACTATATTTGCCCTTTTCCAGTCTTCTGGAATCTCTCCTGTCTCCCATGATTTTCCAAAGATAATAGCTTGAGGCTCAGATACCTCCTCTATTAGCTCCATGAATACAGCCAGCCAGCCTAATTCTTGCCCTGAAACTTGGGATCCTGCAACGTGACTGGGTGGCATCACTGTGTAGAATCAGGGCCAGATGCAGGCATAGGTGCACAGAGGGTTGTGCGTTGGGCTCCAGATACTGGAGCCATCTGATTGCAGTGGAATCTCAGGGCCATAAAAAGAAAAAAAGAAAGTTTCTGATGCTCCTGTTGGAAAGGCAAGCTTCAAAACATGCCCGAGGTGTAGCCACTGCAGGAGAATCTGCCAGAGTCTGAGAAGACAACAGCTCTGAGGGGGAATTTCCCTGAGTGTAACTGACGCAGCCATGTCTGCCTGATTCTGCAGAGAGCCTGAGACAATAGCTTTAAAAGGGAGGAATGGCCCCATGCATCTTGATGATGTACCTGCAAATCCCTTTCTCTGGTGTGCATCCATGCTGGATGACAATTTATATTGCCCAAAAGACTCTCTCATAATGTTAATGTTGCTTCCTGAACCTTGAACTGACTGCTGGGCCCAAGCTGATTGGTCCATGCTGATTGGATGAGCTCAGTTTTGGGGGACAAGCCTGATGGGGCATAACAGTTTTCCAGACTTGGTGTGCGTGTGGATTTTAGAGCACTTTGAAATGTCGGCTCTTAACATGACAGTTTGGTTTGATTGAACTCTGGCATAGCTAGCACTCCTCTGTGATCCAGCTATCATCATAGATCTCAGACACTGTGCTCTCTCGATCCTCCTGGCCTGCTCTAGCTACCTTTCTCCTAATATTCGGCTCTATCTACTGCATCCAGCTATCTCCCTAGATTCTAGTAATTTTAGATTCTCTCTGTCTCTAGCCGTCCATCCATCCATCCCCCCTCTCTCTCTCCATACACACCCCCCAGTCTATTTAGTGATCTATCTATCTCCATACACACCCCTCCACCTGTTTATCTCAGCTCATAGGATGCTGGTTTATCTGTCTATAGGGACTGAATGGAGGCAGTAGATGGATAATCACAATGAGGCTCCAGGCCAGCACTCAGGACAGGCACTTGTGAAGTCATTAACTTGTAGGGAGTGCTTGTTCCACCCTCTCTGGGGTGGAAGCTCCCCCACGCAGACCTGATGATGATGGAATCCTTCCCCTCAGAGTTGCACTTCCACACGGTTATGCTGGGAGCTACATGGTGGCGGTGCACAGCCCAGGCTTTGCCATTCAGAGATCAGTCCACAGGGTAGGAGAGGCTGTATGCCAGGGACTGAGGCAAATGCCCATTCCGTTGGCTCCCGCAAGGCCTCGATAACCCTGTCTCTTCCTCTCCAGTACACAGAAGACCAGGGCAAGAAGCTAGGGGTGGTCGGCTGGGTGAAGAACACCCCCTATGGGACTGTGACTGGGCAAGTGCAAGGGCCCAAGGAGAAGATTGAGATCATGTGAGTATAAGCCAGGCTTCCTAGCTCACCAGTTGGCTCAGCGTTAAACGTGGGTGGTGCTCACCCTTCTGGGTATCAGAGCTGGGTGGGGTGGGGGTGTGAATAGCTGCCAGGCTCGGGGTTGGGGAGCTGGTATCACTCCAGCATAAGGAGGAGGAAAAGGATCCCAGGATGTAGAGAGATACGGAAAAGACTCCTCTTTGTGTACCCCCAGTTCTTCCTTCACCCATGTACATCAAACACAAGCTGCAAGTGTTGAAAGCCCTTTGTAGCATAGCTGAGCACCTGTCCCACCCAAAGAACTCCCAGCCTTTTCCACCCACCCACCAGTCAGCTTCTCCCTGTAGATCGGGTTCCCCACTGTGCCAGGTGCGGCACACCTGCATCCAGCTGAGATCAAGTCCCCCATCACACCAGGTGCTGCCCAGACCTCCCCTGACTGAGATGAGGACGCCTCATGCCTGGCATTGCACAGACCCTCCTAACTGAGGGTTCTCTCTGTTGTGCTGGGTGCAGCACATGCCCTCCTGACTGAGATCAGGCCCCCGTTGTACTGGGAGCCACACAGACCGTTGTGCTGGGCATTGCACAGACCCCCTGACTGAGATCAGGTCCTTGTTTGTTATGGGCGCTGCGCATACCCCCTAACTGAGATCGGAGCCCTGTTGTACTAGGCATCGCACAGATCCCTGACTGAGAACGGAGCCCCGTTGTACTGGAAGCCACACAGACCCTTGTACCTGCATTGCACAGGCCCCCAAACTGAGATCGGGGTCCCGTTATACTAGGTGCCGGAAAGACCCCCTGACTGAGATTGGGGCCCCATTGTGCAGGGTGCTGCATAGACAGTTCACTTCCCCCCCCCCCCCCACCCACACACACATTTCAGTTTAAACAGACAAATGGTGGCAGTGGAAACAGGCACAGATTGGGGAAGGGGCTTGTCCAAGGTCAGTGGCAGCACTGGGAATAGAACCCAGGAATCCTAAGTCCCAGCATCCCGTCCACTGGGCCACGCTGCCTCTCTAAGAAGGGCTGTGAAAGTGCCCAATCCCGAGAGCTGACCTGACATTCCTGAGATCTCCAAGGTGGGGAACATCCCTTCATGCAGGAGCAAAGCCGCTTCCAAAGACCTATGTTCTCTTTGGCGCCTCCAGTGATCTGCAAGTCCAAGGTGTCTGCCAGACTGCGGTGGGGAGCAAGTTTGATCCCCTCCCCTGCAGGAGGGAAGGGGTTAAACCCTAGGCCCAGGCAGCGGAATCATAGACTGTCACATTCCCCATTTGAAACCCTCCTGCCTCTAACTAGGGCAGTTCCCTCGGTGCTGCTGCCCTAGCCAATCAGTGGCTGGAAAATGTGGGCCTTGGCTCAGCCCCAATTAGTGTCCCCCCCGGAAGAGACAGAGAATTTGCCTGATTAATTTCTCTCTTCAGGGGCCGTAGAAACCTGCTTGCCCATCCCCCATCACCCGTGGCAGCCGGGAAGGGCAGGCGGGGCAACTTCCGTAGCAACGGCTCCGTCACCTTCAGAGATATGACAACCAGAGGCAGTTTCCATAGCAACAAGTCCCCCTTCCATCACCTTCAACATTTGGAGACAGAGAGAGAAGTGGAACAGTTTCCATAGAAACCAGTCTCCCCCCATTTCCACCACCTTCAGGGCTTGAACAAATTGGGGCTGCTTCTGTAACAGCCAGTCTGCTTCATTCCCCCATCCCTTTTCACGAACGAGATAATGGGGGAAAGGCAGGGTCCATAGCAACTAGTCTCCCCTCTCTTTGCTTCAGGTCTTGGAAGGAGATAAAAGAGAAGGCAGGTTCCACATGGACTTTACAGGCTGAACCTGTTTGTGTGGGATAATGGCTGGGTAAATGCCAGCTGTGTAAACAGGGAGCCAGGACTCCTGGGTTCTGTCCCTAGCTCTGGGAAAGGAGTGGTGTCTAATGATTAGAGCAGGGGGGCTGGGACTCCTAGGTTCTATTCCTGGTTCTGGGAGGGAACTGGAATGCATTGGGAGCGGGGGAGGCTGCAACCCAGGACTCTGGGGTTCCATCCCTGGCTCTGGGAATGGAGTGGGATCCAGTGGTTAAAGCAGCAGGGCTGGGAGCCAGAGCTCTCCTTATGGATGCTTATGGATGCTCTCACCCCCCACCCGCACAGGAAGAACTGGCTGGGCAATGTGGGGAGCCCCATGTCCCACATTGACAGGGCTGTCTTCTCCAATGAGAGGGAGATCTCCACTCTGGAATTCCCAAATTTCACCACCAAGTACTAGGAGGTGGGGCCAGGACCACAGCGACCCCTTACCCCTTCCTTGGGGAACCACATGACAATGACCTCTGCTGGCTGGCTGCAGCTCCGGGGTGGAACGCAAGGACACCTGCATCCCAACCTGGCCATTGAGCATGTCTTCCCCTGCTGCTCCCGGACGTCAGGGTGTGGGCCTGGCACCCGCCACATGGACCTGTGACTTCCTTTGCCAGCCTCTCACTAAACTCCCATTCCCCAGCAGGGGCCCTACCCACAGAGCACCTGAAACCCCTACATTTGATGCCTGGCTCTGTGCATAAGGTCCCATCCCGTGACCTGAGCCCCATCCCACCCCTGCTTTGCACTAATACAAATGGCTGTACTGCCCCCCCCCCCAGTATTTAATCCACCCCCACTGTGAAGAGGATGCTGCCTGTGCTTCCACCATAGCCCTCCCACCTGCGTAGTGTATTTCTGCAGAGGGGCTCAGTAAAGATGACCTGAGAAAGCGAGAAGGTTGATGGCTGTGCTCTTGTGTTTGCTTCTTGGATGGGTGGGGTCAGCCTGGGTGGATTTTAAAGTACAAAACCAAAGGTAATGGTGTTCTCCACTTGTTTTTTTAACCTAGAAATAACAGCATCATGCCTCATTTCCCCTTTCTCTGTGCTGGAGGCGACTCAGCAATGTGGCTTGGGCTGTCCCTGAGCCACTGAAGGAAGGGTCTGTGCTAACCACCCCTATCCCACAGTGATGGGCTCAGTAGAAGATTAGAGATGGGCTGAGATTGCCCAGGGGTGAGCCTGAGCCTGAAATACTGCATCTAGTTCTGGGGGTCACATTTTTAAAAGGAAGGTGAGAAATTTAAGAGGGTGCAGAGAAGAGCCCCAACAATGATTCAAGGGTTGGAGAAAATGTCTGACAGCGAGAGATGTAAGGAGCTCAGTCTCTGTAGTTTATCAAAAAGAAGGTTGAGATGTGACTTGATGATGGTGCCTGAGGGCCTTCATGGGGAGAGGGTGCCAGGTACGAGGTGGGGGTTCTTTAGCCTCATGGGGAAAGAAAGACTGAACAAGAGCCGGTGGCTGCGAGCTACCGCCAGACACATTCCAGTGAGAAAAAAGGCACACATGTTTGCCAGGGAGAGTGATTAACCACTGGAACAAACTCCCAAGGGCAGGGGTGGAGTCTCCATCTCCAGTCCAGGCTGGCTGCCTTTCTGGAAAATGCTTCAGTCAAACACAAATGATTGGGCTCAATGCAGGGGATCTGGGGGACATTCGTCTGCCTGTGCTATGCAGGAGGGGCAGACTAGATGATTTAATGGTCCTGTCTGGCCTTGGATCTAAGTGACTGGACATTTTGGAGGGCTTAGTCCTTGGAATGCCCAATTCGAGACACCTCAAAGGGGCCTGATGCTCAGCGGGGAAGCAAAAATCAAGGCCCTTTAAGTCATGGCTAGTTGGGTACCAAAATGAGGAGTTACTTTGGAAAACTTGAGCCCAAGTGATTAACAGAGTACACTTTTCTGCCAAGTGTTTGCTGGTTTTTGAGTTAAATGGGTTTTTAACACAAACAAAAGGCATTCCACAACCTGGGTAAAGTCCTTCTTCCTCAAGAGCTCTGGCTTCACTGGTTTGGAGCCTGTGATGACATATTCTTATTGTTATGTGTAATATGGTAGTCCCAGATCAGATTGGGGGCCTCCACTGTGCCAGGTGCTGTACAGATCCCAATGGAGATCAGGGCCACCATTGTGGCAGGTATTACACAGACCTCGACTGAAATTAGGCGCTCATGGTGCCAGGCACTGCACAGATGTCAACTGAGACTGGGGCCTCCATTGTGTGGGATGCGGCACAGACCATGACTGCGGTCAGGACCCTGTCATGCCGGATCCTGCACAGACACACACTGAGAGACGTTCCCTGCCCCTGAGAGCTCAGTAGAAAACGAAAAGGGTAGTAGGGGAAACAAGCACAGGGAGGGGAATAGAGTGGAGACTTGACCAAGGTGAGTGACAGATGTGGAAAGAAAACCCATGAGTGCTGGGTCCCAGCCCGCTGCACTGCACTCCTTCTTATGCCTTTAAGCACCAGGGAGCTGGATTGCAAGGATGCAAACTGGATCTCTTTGGCCAAACCCTGCTCCTGGCACTTGGGATGTGAGCACTGCTCCTGGGGAGGTGCCCCACACTCAGCTTCTGGCAGGTCAGACCTCTCACTCCCAACTGATGAGGCCTGACTGTGCCATGGCATTTGTGTAAACCCAAGCAGGGCTCACTCTGGATTAATCTTCAGCTCAGGATCCTGTCCTCACCTGACTGGGCAACTCTGGATATACACCAGGGTTGATGAGAGCAGGATTGGGCCCATTTCCTGGAATGGGTGGGGGTTTCCTCATTCTGTGCTCTGATTCCCTGGGTGAGATGGGGCAGCCCAGCCCCCAATCACCCCCCCCCCCCTCCAATCGTCTCCCAGTCCCATCTCCCTGTGTGTGACTGATGCGGGGAAGGCGCCCAATGGCTGTGCCTCGTGGCTGGGAGGCGGGCGTTTTTCCAGCCATTCCTAGCCGGACCGTTCTGCCGCCCAGGACTGCTCTGTTCGGGCTGAGCCCTTGGACGCCGGGGTTCACCCAAGCTCAACATGTGATGCTTGCACCCCCATCAGGGACAGGTGATACGGATCTCATCGGATCAGCCCTAAAACTCACAAAGAGCTCCCCACTGGCAGCCCCCCAGCTTCCAAGTACCCAAACGCTGCCTGAACAGTGAGATCTGCCCACAGCGAGGAAAAAGGAGAGCTGGGTGCCACCCCCACAGGTATGTGAGCCGAGCCTGGGGGATGGAGGGGCTCGTTATTGTCTCTGCATCCCTGGCAGCGGGAGGGGAGGAGGTGATCCCAGCTACCCATGGTGCTGGGGTGGGGGGAGCTGGGCTGCGGATGCCCAAGTGGGGCTGAGAAGGAGGGGATGGATGAGTGGATGGATGCAGTGGGGTATCTCCAGGAGCTGGTCTCTGGGTCTGAAGGCAGGGCCTGAGAGTGTGCTGAGCGAGGGGATGAGCGGCCTTTGATACTGTAGTGGACCCACATGATATATCTGGGGAAGGATGGAGGACAGGGTGTCTGCCTGCAGCCAGCAGGGTCAGAGCTCCCTGCCTCACTCAGTCACTGCTCCCAGGGTGCCAGGAAAACAGGGCAGATGAGAGGGCTCGTACTATTGGCTCCAGTTGCTCACTACATGGGCTTTCTGCACACAGCTCTGCCGGTGCCCTTCAATCCTGACCTGCAACCCCCTGTTATCCTAGCCCTGGTCTCCCTGGAACCTCTGCCAGTGCCCCTCCGTCCTGACTAGTCACCCTGGTGCAATCCCAGCCCTGGGTTCCCACAAACACACATCGCTCTGCTGAGCCCCCCAGTCCCAGCCCACAGTCCCCTGCTATTCCAGCCCCGGGCTTCTCCTAAGCAGAGCCATCCAGTCGTGTTAGGTTGTGATGTTGTTGGGTTATGCTGCGCTAACAGGCTGCTCCATTGCTAGTCAGCAGGGAGATGCTGATGTATCCCATAATGAACATTGGCAAGAGGGAGGTCAGGTAACCTACTGCAGGCTCTAGGAGCACTCACCCTGCGGGGGGGGGGTTATTATGGGGTGCAAATGAGAGGTGGGCCATGGAATATGGATGGGGAACATAAGAATGGCCATACTGGGTCAGACCAAAGGTCTGTCTAGCCCAGTGTCCTGTCTTCCGACCGTGGCCAGTGCTAGGTGCTTCAGAGGGAATGAACAGAACAGGTAATCAAGTGATCCATCCCCCATCGCCCATTCCCAGTTATGGGCAATATCAGTTGAACAGGTTGCTGACAGTGTGATGATTCTGGCTCAGAACAGAACCCAGGAGTCCTGGTTTCCACCCCCAGGCCCCACTCTAACCTTTCTCAAAGGGAAGGGATCAGAACTGAGTGCAGGGTCTATGGGAGAGGGTCTCCCCAGGGCTGGATTGTTCCCTTCAATCCTGCTCTCAGAACACAGATACAGGAGAAAGGTTTAAGGGGGCTTATGAGGTCTCTGCCTGGGGTGTAAATGAGAGAAGCCTCAGAGCTGCTCTAATATATACTCAGTCCATGCAATCAGGCTACCCAATGTGTTTGAGAGATAGCAGATGGCACTACTGCATAGCCTGTAGCCAAGGGGAATGTGCACTGAGCGGGGAACCAGAAGCTCCTGCCTTCACATCTCCCCTTTGCGGGTTGCTTTTTATATTTCCATGCACTTCCCAGACCTTACTACTGACCAAGACATCATTCCACCCCACTATTAATTACTCAGATATTAGCCCCCTACTTCCATTTTGCAGAATCTAACAGAGGCTGCACAAGGTCAATTCAAGCGGAGTTGGGAGTGGAGCCCACACTCTAACACCTCAGAGCTGTGTTGGAGCCACTCTGCTGCACTGCCTTTTACAATGAATGTGCTAAATATATGTGCCATGGTTATCCAATTGCTAAATACTTTGCTCACTCCCCTCCCAGACCCAGGGCTAGCACGCAGTGTTCTAATAGCCTTCTGCTATCTGAGAGCTACTCTACACATGGATTTTGTCCCGTTATAACTATTTCGGTTGGGGAGTGGATTTTTTTACCCATATGTTATGCCAGGACAACCCCAAGTGTGGAAGCAGCTATACTGATATAAAGCTGTCTTATCCTGGGATAGCTTATTCCACTTCCTGTACAGGAATAGCTATACCAGGATAAGCACCTTTATCCCATCATAACCGTTTCCACACTAACAGGGGTTGCATCTCTTTAACTAGAATGGAGTAGTTAAAAAGGGACAACTTTGGTGTGTGGACACCAATGGAATTGTGTAACCCACTGGCAAAGTGTATGTCAAGCCCTACTCTAGAG